TTTATATTTATAGTTATATATCTAGAGGAGGGCTAGAATTGTGAATTAAATGCTACGACAGACTTGTGTTTAAGGTGAGAGTTGAGAATAATATATGGAAGACTCTAGTTCAGCTCTGTGATGTTTCAGGGAAAAGATCAGGAAATGGAGACTTTTGAGGTGATTCCTGAAGAATGAGTGAGAGTTACTCAGGCAACCAGGGACTGAGGGTCAAAAGTTATGGTAGACCTAAGGGCACTGGTGGCGCAGAGAGCTTTTTATACAAAGGCTGGCTTTGGGAGAGAGTACACAGCCCATTAAAAGTATCTTAGGAAAGCCATTGTGGGTATATTATAGGACATGATGGGAAGAATCATGAGAAAAGCGGACGTTAAGTGAAGGCTGCATAATAAGGAGCCACATATACAGAGCCTTAGGGGAAGTTTGAACTCAAAATTGAAAGCAATGTGGAGCACTGGCCAGTTTCAAGCAGGGAGGCATGTGGACAAACTGTATTTAGGACAGTCACTCTGGCAGTAGTGTGGAGGATGGGGGCGGGGGGAAGCATGTTAGGCAGGAATAAAGAATAACAGCTAAGAGGTTTTCAGAATAATTCAAATAAAGGATAAAGAGTAAGTAAATTATTATAAAATAATAGCAATGGTACCTAAAGCAATGGATACATTAGACAGATGGTACAAATGAATGACTGTAAACACTTGGAAATTGGACATGGAGGGTAATAGAGAAGCAGGAGTCATAGCCCTCCTGTTTCTGGATTGGACAATTAGGCACACAATGCCCAGATAAATAACACAGAAGTATTTTAAGATTCTTTATGGGAAATGCCATACTAGGTCAGGCTACAATTGTTCATCCAGTTGGGTGGGTATCTCTGTTAATGGGGAATATTCTCTCTCAAAGCTGTAATTGGAAGGCGACAGCACTGCGAGTCCAGAGTCCTGAGTATGATAAACTTCAGCTTTGTAGTAAAATAATGATGTGAAAATAGACAAAGTTCAGAGGTCAAGATCCCACAGATGGAAAATTGTAGAGTTGTTTTTGAACTGGAATCTTTCTTAACCAGGAACTTATACCCTTAAACACTATCCAATAACACTTGCCAAATGTTAAACTTCATTTCCATGATTTTTTAGAGGACATAGTTTTCTGATTTAATTTTCTCCCTCTGATAATATCATAATTTTAATTTTATTTTTATACATCCTCATAAAACTACTACAGAAAAAATAAATTTGAACATTTGATTCTGCACATGCCCAGAAAAGCCTTGGCTTTGCTTTAGCTATAGGTGTCTCACATTTTTTATGTCTTCTTTATAGTAGTCATTTTGAAATATTTTCTGGTTTCATTTTTTTCTTCATCAGTTCAACTACAGATTATCCTGTACCACAAGTCTATAATAAATCTGACAATGCTGATTTTATTGAAATTTCATTTTAAAATATTTCTGAACCCAATAATACATTGCTCACATAAAAACACATTTTAAAAATTTCTTTTAAAAAGTCAATCAATTATTTATTGTTCCTCTAATAGACATAAAATAGACAACAGATTTTAACTTTGGAAAAATAGGAGATTTGCAAATTTTAGTGATTCCTTCATTCAGAACATATTTACTAAGCGTCATTCCCTATGCAAGACACCAGATATAAAACCAAGTGTGGACCTTTCCCCAGTAGATCTTTCGATGCTGTGGGAGAAAAGGGTATCACGTAACTAAATAAATACAAATTATGACTATGGTTAGTCTACACAGGGGAGTTCTATGATATTGTAAGAGTATATATCACAGGGACTTGACACAGTCTGGAAGGTCATTCCTTCTCCTTTCTTCCACCCTTGAGTCACCATAATTTAATATTAGCACAGCAGCCAAAGTGATCCCTTTAAAACTGAAATCAAATCATGTCACTTCTTTGCTCATTGGCTCTCTATTTCCCTTAGAATAAAAGCAAAGCCTTTTACCATAGCTGAAGAACCCCTTTGTGATCTTTTAATCGTCGTTTCCCAACATTATCCTTACTACTGCTCCTGAACTCACTCTGCACTGGCCTCACTGGCCTCCTGCTGACATGCTGGGCTTGTTCCTCCCCAAGGGCCTTTGTAGTAGCCTGGAATATTATCACCCAGATAGCTACACAGCCCTTCATCTTTAAGTCTGTGTTCTCGGGACAACTTCTGAGTGAGATCTGCCCTAATTATTCTAAGCAAATATTCTAAGCATTCTGGCATATCCTAGCCCCTTTTCATTATTTATTTCCCTCTATAGATTTGCCACATTAAAGAATTTGCATGATCATTATATTTATTGTGTATCTTCTACTGCTAGATACAGCTCTTAGAAGAGGACTGCTGTATCTCCAGTGCTTAGCGTGGTTAGCACGTATTAGGCATTCAACAAATATTTGTTGAACAAACAGATAAATGACTGTTCTAAGAAAGTAATGATTGAATTGAGATCTCATGGTAAAGAATT